CAGACGTTATATATTGCCAGTACCACTTTGTGTGATGTCTATACAGACGTTATATATTGCCAGTACCACTTTGTGTGATGTCTATACAGACGATATATATTGCCAGTACCACTTTGTGTGATGTATATACAGACGTTATATATTGCCAGTACCACTTTGTGTGATGTCTATACAGACGTTATATATTGCCAGTACCACTTTGTTTGATGTCTATACAGACGTTATATATTGCCAGTACCACTTTGTGTGATGTCTATACAGACGTTATATATTGCCAGTACCACTTTGTGTGATGTCTATACAGACGATATATATTGCCACTACCACTTTGTATGATGTAGCTATATTTGTAAATGAGATGTCTTGTCATTTTCTTGATATTCTTCCGTTACGCTATCGGCTCAACGTTATATATAAATAAAATGTGAAAATATTAACTCTGATTAATTTTGGAAAATGAATAATTAAGGCCGTGTGCGTTTTCACCGTTTCTCATTGCAAAGGCCGATTGTCCAGAATACGTTGTGATCAAATAAATAAATAAATTATTAATTATTCTATCTATTTGCAAATATTTTGCATATAGACAATAATATCATAATATATTCACGCCTATGTGACAGTGTGAGATGAACATTATAACGCTCAAATTATATTGTGAAGCCAGTACAGAATTAATAGAGTAAACATTTCTGTGTGGATAACAGAAGACAACACACGGAATGCATTATTACTAGCGACACAATAAAATGTAGAGTAAATTGTATCCCGCGTCAGCTTGCACTCATTAAACCCTCGAGGCGTTCGGTACATTTAGGCTGGCATATATGAAGGTCATTGACCGGATTAGATATTTCAGGAGAGCATAAATGAAAATCAGTGACCGAATTATTCAATAACGAATAAATTATATTGGAAGACAGGGAACGGAACGGGAATGGATTGTGATTGGTTTAAATTAATTAATTATGTTTGGGCAAGGAGAGGAATACGGCATTCGAGGTGGCTAACAACATGGCATTTTATAAAAAAATAACATGTTTACAATTCATTTGTATTTTATAATTCCTTTTGAATAACCATTTTTGGTTCTGAAATTTTTAAAACCCACTTTTGTTTCTGATATCTGTTTTCTTTTTAAAAAAATAATTGTTTAAATCCATTTTCGTTTTTATAATCCGTTTTCAAAATCCGTTTTCATTTTTAAAATCTGTTTTCATTTTAAAAATCTATTTTCGTTTTTAAAATCCGTTTTCAAAATCCATTTTTATTTTTAAAATCCGTTTTCATTTTCAAAATCCATTTCCGTTTTTAAAATCTGTTTTCATTTTCAAAATCCATTTCCGTTTTTAAAATCTGTTTTCATTTTCAAAATCCATTTCCGTTTTTAAAATCCATTTTCGTTTTCAAAATCCATTTTCGTTATTAAAACCTATTTTTGTTTTCAAAATCCATTTTCATTTTTAAAATCCATTTCTTTTTTAAAAACCATTTTCATTTTTAAAATTTAATTTTTTAAAATCCATTTCTGTTTTTACTAATCCGTTTTTATTTTTAAAATCCAATTTCACATTTTTGTTGACATTTGAAATATAGGTACACGTATATTTTACACGTTGAAGCAAATATTCCATCAAAATTTACATAAAAATCGCCGTTGTTTCCCGCCTATCATATTAAGTTTAACTGTTTTTATTTGTTTTTACTAAGATTCTCATTTCGATTCGATATTCGATTTGTGTTTTGTATATCATTTCAACTTGTTTTTTTTTTTGTTTTTTTTCAAAATGTAAATGAATTGTTAAAATGGTTTTATAAAATGCTATGTTGTGAGCCACCTCGGTTGCCGTAGAGGAAAGCATAATCCTAAATTTGCATCAAGTTCTTAGTTAAAAACGGACAAATATTGTGAGAATACATCGGTTATGTCGCAGTGTTGAATACACAGACGACAATATAACGCCTAAGTCAACGTGTGAAATACGTGCAAACAAGAGAATACTTGATATCACGAGAATATATCGTCTTCGTCCCAGTGTGAAGCTGATACAGACGACAATCTAACGAAATATACACACAGTGTGGATATTTGTTCGTTACCACGTGAAGCAAATATGAAGTCACTATTAATGCACTGATCGTTGCATGGCTGAATCAAACAACCACCTATATATGTTATATTGATCATATATAATTTATGATACAAGTAGACAGTTTCCTTAAAACACTTTTATAATTTAAAGGATGGTGGTCGTCGCGCAGCACGTATTCGAATTTCATGTAAACAATGTATTTTACACGCGTTGTATATGTCGCTACGAGTCCCATGTCGAAGAGGACGTGGCGCGACGACCACCGCCCTTTATATTGTAGCAATTGTCTGTGATGCGATGCTGTAGAGCAGCTATAAAACTGGATATGCCATATCACACTGTGTGTCCATTAAACGTGTGGGTGATAAATACTATAATGCAGATAGCATCAGTCGGAATATTTTAACTATTGAAATATTAATGAACATGTCGTGTTTGACATAATTTATGTGAGAAAGGTCGTATTGTTATTAATGTCGATGACGAGGGATTGCTAGTATTTCAAATCCCAATAACAAAATACCGGGATTAAGATTTAAAATATGAACATAGATTATGGTATTAATACGTTCATTGTTCAGGGTCAGTTGTTGTCAAATGGAGTCAGCGAATAGTATAAAATATGGCCACAGTTTGATTGTTGTCGATATAAAAACAAAAATCGAACAATAATAAAAATATTGAGTGAAATCGGCGATGAAATCAATGAATTGTACAGAATTATAGAAATGCGATGTTTAAGACTGGCAGTTTCCACAGAAAAAAAGATAATAAATGTGAATATATTTATTGTAAATGTATTTTTTCTTTCAAAATGTGTTCATGCACGAGAAGGTCATTTTAAATTTAATAATTGAGACCGTACTGCTGTACTATTCCTGGTCAGTGCTGTGTAGTTGATTAAATAAGTAAATACAAGCATGGGTTATCGGAACTAGTACTGGTGAATGTACAGCAAACAACTATGCCATACAAATTAATACCATCGATCGGGGATTTTGAGATGACCACACCAAAACCATAAAACCAAACGCATTTTTTAATTCTACCGACCGTGATCGTTAAACGCTTAACAATTGGAAGCCAAGTTGTTGTCTTGTTAGTATTGGTTTGTATAGAGTCATGTACAACCGGCGTTTATATAGCTCGCACTCTATTGATGGGGCATTGCATTTTATTGGGTGCACTGAACGACACCGGATAGCAAATCAATTTGTTAAAGGTACGCAAACATGTCCGGTCTAGTGATGTCACGAATATCACCCGACTGACCTGCCAGTTTCACCTTGCAATCGACTAGAGACAAATAGAAAGACAAATACATAAATAAATTAAGCATAGATTACCGGGACAAGATTTATTTCAAAGTCCGTAGATTGAAAGCACTAATGCATAATATGAATACTATTTATGTGCAACATATATATAATAGTGATATTTTACCATATAATGAATCACTGTGTGCAGTATTCACTCCCAATGCATTGTGGTCCATCCACATACGTCACAGGGCATCACAGCGAATTAAGTAACTTGCTGAAAAATATCAAATTCTTTAAATCGATTTTGTCAATGTATGTAATATTAATATATGATCCAACCACCATCTACATGGTAGATATGTAGTTTGTTGCGATGCGTGTCAGAAATAACTAATAGTGTTAGCCCGCATGTGCTTAAGCGCAGCTGGCGTTATTGGCGATGTCCATTTTAAGCTCGGCGTCGTGTCATCGCGCACATTATGACCGTCCTCCTGAAATCTCACTCTGTTCGTCGACGATGCCTTTTTTGTGGAATGTGTATTCACTGATGAGAAGGAACTATTCGTGCTGTGTCCGCTATCCGTGTCTTCACGTTCAACTAAACCGTTTATTTGATGGTTATCGCCAAAGCTGACTCGGTCATTTCGTAGTTTATTCAGCGCGTCCATAAGTCGTACATTAGCCGTAGTAATGGAGTTAATTTGGCGCTGCTGGTTCCCTATTAGTTTATCTTTCTCCGATAACATGTTGATTATCGAACGTTGTTCTTTGCGGAGAGCTCCCTCTAAATACATTAATTTTGACGTGACTTCCTTCATTTCAGTGTCCCTTCTCTTTGATTCCCGTGCTAACTTATCATCGCCTTCGTCGAGGCGAAGTCTCCACGCGGCTATAAGCTGTCTCGTTCGTATTTTTTGCAATTCCATTTGTTGATTTGTTTGCTCAATGGTGCTGTTCGCTGCTCCCAGTTTCTTTCTCAGTGTCTCGATTTCTTGTAGCAGCTGCGAGTGGGAAAAAGGCAATAGGTAATGAAATGATGCTACTTGTAAATATGAAGGGTTCTTTTAATTTAAATACTAATATATACGTGTTTCCACACTGATTGCTTTGTATCACACATCCAACACTATGCCGGCTATGTGTGACATACCGCCGTCTTTTACAAACAGTGGGGCGGATAATAACATTATCCTTCGTTGGGTGAAACTCTATTCTATAAAAACAGGCACAGAAGACAAAGCACGAAAACGGACAAATTTGACGCTTCGATGGCTTGCTTACCTGCTCTCTGCTACATTCTGGATGAGGGTGTTCTTCAACTTCGGCTCCTTCGTCGGCTTCGGCAGCCATATTTCAAAGTCCAACTAAAATGTGATGTGTTGTTATTAATCTCGATTTATACCTCGCGTAAACCGGCACACTGTCGACCCGGTGTTGTATATAAAGCAATGATTGAACAGGTGAAAATAATAACACTGATCAATTTCGGGAAATGAACAACCCTGCTGTCTATTTCACTATGTCTGGTTTCCAGACGACGTTCTGAGTGTTATGATTTCCTATAGGGTGATTCACTGCAGGTAGTCCTCGGCATGCATCCACACTGAGTCAGTGACAATTGATGACAGGTAATCGACCTCACCACGCAACCCTTTTCACGCAGGTCAAATAGAAAACCTACTGACGTAGTTGTTGTCTCAGATGGCGCTGTGCACTTTAATTGGGCAACCAGTCAAGCCTATCAAAACGACTAACACCGGTGAATACACATAACGGGGGCCGCGTGTATGATGTACGTCCTACTACAAAGGTCAGACCACTCGGCTACAAATACGTTCTCTACTATCGATGAAAAGAACTCGATCGCTTCACTGAACGTGCCGGCATGTGTGAGCTCCAATGGCTATGCGTTGAATGCGGGATACAGGCTGTGTTTTCACTGTAAACGCGGTCGTGTCATTAAAGTATTTGCAAAGATAACAGACTACGGTAACATTACCTGATGGAAACAGACACATTTATATAGAACGACCTTTAACACTGTGTAGAGTTCGTTGCTTTCAAGTACGGCGACAATAACAAGTGGAAGACGTTGCTATTGTGAGCTGGACACACAGACACAGTAAAAGCATAACACGTTGGCGTGGGTAGTTTTAATCGTCATTCCAATGACACTTTTGTCTTGTGTCTATATCACATTATAATTAAATACCAGTAAAAGGAAATGTGAGACAAGAGCAAATAATAGTTGAATAAATATTTTTAGTGTATAAGCGAAAACACGGAATAGTTTTAGTGCTGTATACAAACACACACACATCGGGTGTGTGTGTGTGTGTTGGGGGGGGGGCATTGTAAGGGGCGGTGTTTTATTAATTATGTAAAGCCATCTGCCTCGCTTGCAGCCTCGTACGCTGCTGATACGCAACTAAGGGAAATTTATTAACGTGAAAATTGGTGATATCGTTCGGAGCTGCGGACACTTTTACCGCCTGTTCGGGCATTCAGTGATGAAGAAACATGTAAATAAAGGCAATCTGTGCCCGGATGTAATGCTAACTTGAGGGCGCATTGCAAACGTACTGCAATGTACTAACTTCGTACACTTTGATTATAATATGACCAGAGAGGGGGTAGTCTACATGCTGCCTCCCATTTTTCTCAACTTCATAATAAATAACAGCATCTCTGCCAAGTTTCATTGACTCAATTGCAAACCTACCAAGTTTCGTTGACTCAACTGCCAAACCCATCAAGTTTCATTGACTCAGCAGCAACCCTACCAAGTTTCATTGACCCAACTGCAGAGCTAGCAAGTTTCATTGACTCAACAGCAAAGCTACCAAGTTTCGTTGACTCAACTGCAAACCTACCAAGTTTCATTGACTCAATTGCAAACCTACCAAGTTTCGTTGACTCACCTGCCAAATCCACCAAGTTTCATTGACTCAGCAGCATCCCTGCCAAGTTTCATTGACTCAGCTGCAGAGCCACCAAGTTTCTTTGACTCAATTGCAAACCTACCAAGTTTCTTTGACTCAATTGCAAACCTACCAAGTTTCGTTGACTCACCTGCCAAATCCACCAAGTTTCATTGACTCAGCAGCATCCCTGCCAAGTTTCATTGACTCAGCTGCAGAGCCACCAAGTTTCATTGACTCAACTGCAGAGCTACCAAGTTTTATTGACTCAACTGCAAAGCTACCAAGTTTCATTGACTCAACTGCAAACCTACCAAGTTTCGTTGACTCAACTGCCAAATCCATTAAGTTTCATTGACTCAGCAGCATCCCTAACAAGATTCATTGACTCAACTGCAGAGCTACCGAGTTTCATTGACTCAACTGCAAAGCTACCGAGTTTCATTGACTAAACAACAAACCCACCAAGTTTTATTGACTCAACTGCAGAGCTACCAAGTTTCATTGACTCAACTACAAACCCACCAAGTTTCATTGACTCAACTGCAAAGCTACCAAGTTTCATTGACTCAACTGCAAAGTTACCAAGTTTCATTGACTCAACTACAAACCTACCCAAGTTTCATTGACTCAACTACAAACTCACCAAGTTGTGAATGTTATATTTACAGATATATTTACTCAGCGAAACACGTACCATGTTTCTTTCAGTTCAGTATTTCTGAAAAATTTTTTTTTTTTTCAATCCACGTTTCTCAGCTGTATTACATAGTTCTTCTAGTTGTCCATTGTATACCCATACCCATACCCATACACACTCACTCACTTTTAAAAACCGTTTCAAATATGCCGCTGACTTTTTCCGGGGTTGCATGTCTTTGTTCTTTTGATTGTTTATGTTTCTGTCCTACCCTCACCTGTTGCTGAGTCGGTCACCTGTGTGCAAACAGAATTACATCGCGTCTGTCGGTAATTATATATCGAGATCTGCTCACCAGGTGAGCCGAAGCCGTGACTTTACTAGGGGGTCCGGGGCATGCGCTCTCTAAAAATGTTGAAATATGGATCCTCTGAAACGCTATTTCCTGCATTTCGAGGGTCAGATTTTGCTGACACAAAGGGTTTCAGCTTAATTTTAATGAATGACTCATACTACCGATGGTACACGATGATGAGTCGTTTGTGTCGATGAGCTTGGACGAACGATTATTTCAGAAATTACTTAGGATATTATAAAGATATGTGCATGTTATTTGCTATTATAATGACTTTTCATTCAATACTCTAGCAATGCTTGAAAACATAAAGTAGACAAAAATCGCGAAATTTGAATACATAAAAAGAAGTATTTAGACAAATTTATCAGGGTCGTGCTATCATGACTGACAAGAAGAGAGCAACATTTATACATATTTGGTTCAATATTTAAGTTCAAAATAAATGGGACAGAATAACAAGAAATGATGATTGTTCTAAACTGAGTTGAGATGTAGAACATAGTTCTTACATTGCATTGATAGTGACGTCATCACATGCAATTGATAATTTAGAATCATATTTATTGCAGTATCCGCTCAATGTAAACGTCATATGTCGACATAACGATCGCGAGTCGTTTACATCACGGCAAACCGTTTCGTGGAATTATCCTTCTGTTTGCTCGATGAAACGGTATCATATGACTCGATGCGATGGTGTCGCCACGGTTCATTCCAGTGTTACGGTAATATTAATCTTATGGACTGGATACGCGCTGCACAACCTCGGGCCTCAAAAGCCGTATCCAGTCCATAAAGGTTTTTTCATATACCTTGTGGACCTAATTACAATTTTACCACAGAATGATTTTAGACACATGACGTAATTTAGAATGACGCGTTTGTTTTGATTAATGAAAGCGGGCGCTGTACAGGGTGTGATACGGGAAATTATTGCCCCGATGTGAGGGCGTACTTTCCATAGCGTTACGAGGCCGGGCAACACAAGGTATTATATGATAATAGCAATGATTGCTATATCAAATAATTGCTGTATCCATCTATATTCCTCGCCAATATAGTAGCTGACTGTGATATGTGATAGTAGCTGACTGTGATATGTTACTGCATATCGGCAACTGTTTTATTCAGGGGAATTTTTAACAGGAGGATATTTCACATAAGAAACAAATGCTGTAAACTCGCATCACGGTGAATGGAACACTTAGTCCCGACCATGCACACAGAAGAGCATTTCGAGTTTTTGAGGAATTCTTACGTCCCCGGAAATTCAGCGTTCTGAATGCGTGGTGGCGGCTTTTATTTTGATTATTCACGCTGCTGGATATACAATCATAAAAATCGTCTTGCGTGGAATCTCAAATAAGAGATATGCATTACTGTCATAAAGCACCACGTATACACTGGCAAAGACAAGTTTTTATCTTGGAATATTCAAATATTATGTTATTAAGTGGACGAATATGGTTTAAAATAAACCTGACCGTCACTGGGATAGGTGAAGTTGGTAAATCTAAATTATTTTAATATTGGATTTTAAATAATGAATAAAAAACGGTGGTTTTAAAATATGAACATTCCAGCAATTACGCCGTGCACGGAACTCATTTGATCATCATTTACGATAACCGCGGATTGTGAATTGAGTCTCTGGTATAGTGTGAAGATGTAACACTGCTTCTGCCTGAGATTGAATTATTTAAAATTTTTAAATTTCTTAAACGAAACATATTCCGCTTAATTGTCAATATGAATTAAAGTATATATTTACAAACACGTAGTTGTTTTACATGATGATCATGTTGATCGTAAGAGGTTGTAAATAATTTTCAAAATACTTATAACGCAACCCGGACGTTGACTGCGATCATAAAAGTACATCTTTGCTACATTAACAATATATTGTACACGACGGTCTTGTCATAGATCAGTCAAGCCATGGAGTTTTGGCACATTACTGACTGAGCTAAGCAGACAAGTGATGACGACTTGCAACAATTTACCCGTCATTATACGTACCTGTACCAGGTGTCCTATTCCATGTATGAGTGTCTTTGTCTGCCCATCACTCAGTTTTTTGTTCATCCACACAAAACAAGTTACATGACACATTTACGCAGCAACGAACGAGCCAGACAATTTAAACAGCGAACACTGAAATGAACAATCGATTTCTAGAAATTACTATACTCTTGATCGTTGTACCGCAAATTTCTTTCAAAGAGGTACGATTTCAAAGTTAAGTTCAGTGCTGTATCACATTAGCTTAGCTAGAGAACCCCTTCCTCTCGAATTTTGTTATTTTGAAATCGCCTCGCACCTGCAAACCAAGCCATTAACCGACTCACCAGTGGTTCTTTATCCCAACATCCATTTCAAGACTATCGAAGAACTGTTCGTTACTAACAACACAACTATTACAAAAACTGTCGACAGACCTTATGATTCAATGTGTGTTTTCAACTAAACTGATTTTATTCGAATGCCGCTATACGTTTGCGAACTGCTGAAGGCATTTCACGCGAGCGTCGCAAGGCTCATCTCAAACATTTCTTTCAATTGTATTATGTTACGTACGTTACAGGTTCATTATTCGGAGGAGCTGTATGACATTCATTCTGGTGGCAAGTGTATTCGCACAAGGTATGTATCAAAACACTAATTGATCACATTCATTAAGATGTTCAGT